CCCGTGGCGGCTGAACATACCCTAGCTCATGCTGAGCCGTGGCGGTGATACAAAATGGCGGAGAATAGCTCACAGTTGTTGTTGTGTATGTCCGCGTGAAAGGTTGCCCATTCGCCACTCAGTTGTGGCGGAAAATTGGCACTGAATTGTGGCGGCAACTGCTCATCCATGGATGACGTCACTACTTGCAGATTACCACTCATTATCTGCCTGTGCAGGTTCTCACAAACATGGCAGCATTTCACTTAAACAAGGCTGTGTATTCGCCGCACCGCTCACTCCAACACCGCGTGCCCCGACTCCAACGCAATCCCTGGTGACCTACGCTTCTCCTCCACTTGCCCTTGCCTTCACCAGCTCGGAATCTAAATGCGTGATCCTTTGCATTAGGGCCTTCCGAACACTCAATGAACATATCGATGATATGATGTGGTGTGTATTACTCTAGAATATATCTAGAAAACTTAATATAAATATAATACCTTAGCTTACCCCAATTTCCCTTCCCTCTCACTGTGATGGCGCGGTGTGATTTTGACCGAATAACCCGATCCACAAATTCTCATACAAAAATGCCGATCTCTGGCGGCGCTAAATTTAAACTTGACTAAGTAACTAGCGATAGCCCTAATCCGTTCCGCGACACAAGTTTTGAGCCTTAACCTCTTAAACACTTAGGACACGTTTTTTTCTTAGCTTCTAGAAGAATTCTTTTATTATTCCAAGCCATAAAAAAGGATAGCAAGATCCCAGCAGACAGATTTCTGAAACTATAGAGCCATTTCTAAATGGTAAGCGATTCCTAGAACATTTCATCACATTATAACTTCTTATCTTCTGCACCTTTTAGGCACCTCGTTGATAACACCTTAAATTATTTTGTTAAGCGAACTAGTAGTAGAAAAGATGAATGATGAAAGATGAACTATAAGTAAAAGAATGTTCGGATTAAGCATGTAGGTTTTTATGATGCCCCAAATGCGAATTGATTTTAATCCATCTAGCCAGTTGTGTTTAAGAATTCGTATTTTAGAGATGCCACTGCAACTCGACTGGACATGTTTTCATCTGGCCACCCCCACAAACCGTGGAAAACTGTGGCGTCCATACTATATCCATAACCTTGTTTAACCATATTTAACATTATTTGGAAAGAAATGTAGGTTATAAGGCCTCATATGGGCAGTGACGTCATTATTAGTTACTCAGCATGGTTTCTCTAACAATGGGTGGCGCTTCGTGAATATCCATTAGCAGAATAAATATTTTCAAAGTTGTGTAGTACACTAACGGCTATTCGCGGCACTCGACTATAGCGTTTCTTCTTGTTTTTCTCTCCCTCTAGTTGTAAGTCCAAAAAACGCTAAGATCTTGGGAACTATAAAACCTAAAGGGTGAGCCACACTTATTCTAGACATATTTATGTCTTCGTTCACCTTGTTATTAAACATACTTTTTCAGACAAAATCTGTATCTTTAACAATTTCCACTAGCAAAATTTATATTTTAAAATAAGTTCAAACATTAACAGTGTTCTTTTTGTTAGATTTCCAAACGTTAAATCGGCTCTCACAATATTTTCCGTCACTGGCAGTAATGTTTTGCCGCTAATACTAGACAATGTCGTGCGTGCACACCATTAAAACATAAATCATTTATTCTATGCAGGCCCTAAAATCCAATCAAGCGACTATACCCAATACTCGACCCGACGAGGGAGTAGTCTTTGTTATCCAGTCAATCAATACCCGAGTAGACAACAGTACCGAGATTAGGGTACACGGTAGGCACTTTGTTAACTTCAATAAACGTTCCCAGAGAATGACACCAGGAGTTTCAAGCTCGCCATTGGTTTAAAACAAACTGTTTAATACACAAGTTAAGTTGTTGTTGTTATTGTAATTATTATTATTGCACTTATACTCTTTTAGGCTTCATGGTAATATATTAAATGCCTTGTATGGTTCTAGCAACAGATTGCGCTACTGATTCTTAATGCTACGCAATAAAGAGATTTTAATTACGACACGTATGCGACCATTGAGAGCGGCGGTAATCTGACGGGAATCTTGGCATTTAGACCGGCAATCCGAACACGAGTCGAACGCAACTCTTCGGTGGACTTGTGCGTAGAGTTGGATGTACGTGTAGCGGCCTCTTGCAGACGACTGATTTTATCCTTGCACAGCGATTCAATATCGTCGCGATTAATTCGCATCTGCTCCTCATACTGGGAGCTTAGGCGTCCGTCGATTTCGCTGTAATCCGACTGGTGGATGCGGCGCAACTCATTGATCTTCTGTGAGTGGATCTGATCCTTGAATGACAGCTCCTCACGTAGGTTTGGCATGGTATTTTCCAAGTCAACGCGCGAGAGTGTATCCTGCTCTAGAGTCTTGCGCGTGTCTTTGTACTGCTTGCGCAGACGATTCAACTCCTTGAAATTATCGTTCAGTTCATTAGTGAAGTTCGGATCTGCCAGAATCACATTGGCTGGAACCTTCCAGTTGGAGACATCTAGTTTAGACCAGGTTGACGCTCTGCGTTGTGAGACGCCACAACTGCCTCAATGTATACCGACTACGTGGATAGGCGAGACTTCAGGCAAACATTAACCGATGCTCCTTCCGTAGTGAACTCAGTATTTCCAAGGCCAGTCACCGCTAAAGTGCATTCGGACCGATGAAGCTGAAGTTGGCTGGCCAGCCGTGATGTGATGAGATGAACTTGAGAGCCGGAATCAAGTAGCGCTCGGCAGGGAAGGAAGTCTTCTGACCGGCCAAGAACGAGAATGTTGGCTGTTGACAAGAACACGGCTTCAGCGTGGCGATCCTGGGTCAAAAGTAGGTAAGACGCCGAACTTTATAGTATCGTTCCTCAACTGGAAAGGCAAGGAAACTTGGGCAAGATGACACAGCATGTGCCAGGATACCGCACAGAGCACACGGAGCCGACGGAGCATTAAGGAGCATGCAAGGGCCCACTTGCTCACTGTGGGGCTAAGGCCAAATCCACAGTCTCAAGTGTACGGACTGCTTCCTGCGAGAGAGTCTTCTCACTTCGCCTTTGTGGCAGGGTCCAGCTTTTGAAATACGATCTGGATGAGGAGGCATCCTTGAAGTTCGATCGCCGTCCCGGAGCTCATGAGGGCCCGCATCTGACCTTTGAAAATCTCCTTTCTGCAAATCCAGTGGTTTCAGCTTCAGACTCCATTATGTAATTTAAGTGCAAGTTTATGACAACAAGTCAACAGCCGCACAAAATACCACGCCGAATATACAATAACAAGTTTTCCAAACAATGTTCTGAGCTAGTGTGCAGCAGTTCTACAAAAGCTCCCAAAAGCGCATGCTTTAAAAAATAACAGTAAAGCGTATGAGAAACTGGAATAGCCAAAAAAAAATAGAAACTGCTTATAAATCCGCCGATGCTCATCCGTCTTTGGCTACTTGGCCCAACAACAGTGTCGGCATTAAAGTCAAGGCGGAAGAGTAATTTATGTCTTGTGTGTAGCGGTTTTTTTTTCGAATCAGTAAAATTCACTTCTCGGAGAAGAGTACGGTAAATAGATTGCGTTCAGCTTAGCACCGACGGTTCAATATTTTGAGACTTTTTTTGTGTTAATAGTGGTTGTATGAGCGATTCAGAGTCTAAAGACTTGGTTGTTCGTTCAGCTAAGTAACCTTGTATATCAGAAAACAGAATATCGAGCCACAACAACCACAGACTGTCATATATGTAATTGTATAGGAGGCGGACTGCGATACGCCTCTGTATATCGAGAACAAGGTCGACGCTGACACTGGGACAACGGTCCTAATTAAGGGGAGGGTGGTCCACAAGGTGATGTTCTGTATTGCTGTATCCTAAACTCTTAAACTGACAAAGGTGGAGCCTTTCGAAAAAATCCTGCAGCATATAATGGAGTCGCAATTGCTTACAATAAAATGCCAGCTGCAGCATCGTCAACCTGCTTCGCGTTATCCGTATTGATAAAGATAAAGATTTTTCAGGTTTACCTATAGGCGGTGAAGCAGGGTTTCGATAGTGGTGACGCAAATCCTTGCTAACATGGATATCACCGAGGACGTCCAATTTTGAAAGGAAGGGGAGTAGTTAACAAAGATATGAACTAAGAGCACGGCGCCAGACGGCACACAAAGTCTTACGGCGGACGCTGGTCGACGGCTGTGGTCTGTGCAATTTGGGGTTACGATTAAGTTCTTTCTCTTTTGTTTATTAGTTCTGGGCTGTCAGCCGAATAATAAAGGCACATTCTTTAAGTCGGGAGTTTTCATCTGTGTCAACCGCCGCGACACTATAGTTGAAGCTAAGACCCTGCTATCAGCTTACTAGAGGAAGCTTGGTAGTTACCAATCGTAGCCACCATCAGGTCTCGATCCGACTCTGCATCACTTTACGGATGCAGAGGCGTTCACAAGGTGACCGATCGTCGTGGGCAGCAATTTGCAGAAACGCGCTTTCCAACTACTCCGTGAGCAGCGACGGTGGTAACCTCCTGTTAGATCTGTGCAGTTGGAGAATATTATGGGCAAACACGAAGCCAAAATATACTATACTTTTATCATAATAGCTGAAACTTATACGCTAAGAGAAACCTTTTTTATGAATTGCCAGTAAAAATAAAAGAACGAAAATAAAAGAATATATTTAAATTTGTGATATTTATTATTAAACATTAAACATTAAATAGAATCTGCTAATAAGCCCGCCGCTGCTCATTGATCTTTGGCTGCTTGGCCTAACACTTAATTATTTTGAAATAGGTTAAATGATTAAGGGGTGCTTTATAGTCCAAGAACATAAAATAATGGCTTCATCCAATATTTAGTAATTTAGTGCAGAAAGCGCTATCATATTGTTGTCAGAATATACACCTGCTTACCTTAAACATGTGTGCAAATTGAACTCTTTTTGAATTATATCTACTATAACATAATAGCGCTATCATATTGTTGTCAGAACATATATCTGCTTACCTTAAACATGTATGCGAATTGAACTCTTTTTGAATTATATCCACTATTTAGTGCAATATCTCTTAAAGCAACCCTTGCGAATTCATGTTTTTTATTATTCTCTGTAATAAGAATCACACATAAACGTTTCCTTGGGCGGTTCCATTCAATTGGGCACAAACCTATAAAATAATTTTTAAAAAAATTCTTGAGTTTTTGATGATGTTTAAATAATGGTGGCATTTTGAGTTAGCATTAGAGTTAATAGTTTGTTTTTCTTATGTTTTAAATAATTATTTTTATTCACCATAATTTGTTTTTACGGACTTAAAGGTAAAATAAATTTATAGCTTACAAGACATTCGTTGAGAATTCTGGTTCAGCTTAATAACATCTGTTAAAAAGCAACTCTGCTAGAAAACCCAGAGTTTGTTTCCATCATGTAATCTAAAACTAAGGCCCCATAATAGCTTCATAATGAAAAAAAAGCTCGAAAAAGAAGAATCATAATCATACGTTCGGTACGTCGAGCGGGTTCAGCGGCCGAAATACTGGCTGCGCCGGCAAAACACTCCAGGCGAATTGCATAACAACCGATGTGCGAGATAACTGACGCTGCAGACCTGAATCTAGTGGACCCGGAGCGATGGGCTAGCTGGCAACAGCCAGCCGGTGAAGACTTCAGTTAAGGAAAGAGACTATGAACGGAACGCTACTACTTGTAGCGTAATTACTTTTCTTTCCAAATTAACCAAAATAAATTTAAGGAAAATAAAGGGAGAAATGCTAAGAGCCCTTTATTGAAAGTAATAATCAACAGGAATCGAAGGGAAGATCATTCAAGTGAATTAACGGGCTAAATTAAAAGTAGTGTTGAGCAACTAAGAGCTTTTAATTGCTGTAGAATAAATAAACCGGTCCAAATTAACCAAAATAAATTTAAGGAAAATAAAGGGAGAAATGCTAAGAGCCCTTTATTGAAAGTAATAATCAACAGGAATCGAAGGGACGATCATTCAAGTGAATTAACGGGCTAAATTAAAAGTAGTGTTGAGCAACTAAGAGCTTTTAATTGCTGTAGAATAAATAAACCGGGGCAGTTTAATTTCCAAATTTTATTCTGAGTTCAAATTAAACCAAATCAACTCCGCAATAAAACCACGCCGAATGCAAGATGTACACCTTCAACACAAAAAGTTCGAGGAATAGCAGTTCTACAAAAGCTCATAAAAACGCATGCGCTATAAAAAAAACTGTAAAGCGCATGCGAAACTGAGTTAATCAAAACAAACTAGAAACTGATAAACCCACCACTGATCATCACTCTTTGCCCTTGGCGGCTTGGGCAAACATCCTCCCCCGTTGACGGCTTGCCCTTCAACAGAGTCCTTGAGGGGCAGCAGACACAACCTGGACATCACACGTTTTGTCGTTCCAACAACTGTCTTTAGTATGGCAACACGGTTCAGTTTTTACAGAACGATGGAACTTGTAGGTGATCGAAAGACCGCCCTTGTTGATCAAACGCCTCCAATAGCTACTTCATCGTTGCTCTTACTGTACAGCTTTACGAACTTGGCCTCGAGATCGATCTTCTTGTTTTCCAACAGCTCAACCTCGTCAGCCACGCCAGGGTGGCAGGTGGAGCTGAGGGGGCTGGAGACCGCTGACGAAGCAGTCACACGACTGAGAACAGATAAAAAAACAGGGTCGCTCCAATCAGCATATCCACACGCTGCGCTCTGTGGAAGTTGGGATCTGCCAGAACCACATTGGCAGGAACCTTCCAGTTGGAGACATCAATGTTTAGACCAGGTTGACGCTCTGCGATGTGAGACGCCACAACTGCCTCAATGTCTACCGAATACGTGGATAGGCGAGACTTCAGACAAACATTAACCGATGTTGGCTGGCCAGTCGCGATGTGATGAGATGAACTTGTGAGCCAGTAGCGCTCGGCAGGGAAGGAATTCTCCTGATCACGAAATCGCGAACGAAAATGTTGGCGGTTGGCGAGAACACTGCTTCAGCGTGGCGACCCTGGGGCACTAACGTGTTAGCTGGCGGAGCCTGAGAGGTCGCAACTCCCTTGGCAAGATCCAAGCCGGAAGCGGGAACGGAAACAGTCCTGGGTAGTTGCTCGCAATAAAGCAACAAAGCATGATGTCAGCGATTTTACGTTGGGCAGCGGGAGGATGAGCATTCGCGGGCAAAGTGTCCAGACTTGAGGCAATGAAGCAGAGGGCAAGACGCCGGACTTCATCGTATCGATATTCAACTGGCAAGGCGAAGAACATTGGGCAAGAATGCACAGCATTTTCCAGGATACCTCACAGGGCACACGGAGATGGCGGTGCATTGACGAGCATGTACGAACGATTATTAAATGGCCTAAGTCGGTTCACTTGATCCGCTGTCAGATGCGGAGCTAAGGCCAAATCCACAGTCTCAAGTGTACTCAAGCTTTGTTGCAAAACCCGAGCCATATATCCTCGGCTGTCAGCACTGTTTCTTGCGATAGAGTCTTTCCACTTCGCCTTTGTCGCAGGGTCCAGCTTTTGAAAGATGATCTGGATGAAGATGTATTATTGAACTTCGTCAGCCGTCCCGAAACTCTTGAGCATATGACCATTGAATCGGTCGGATAACTCCCAAAGAGTTGCAACGGATCCCAGCTCGACTACCCTTAGCTGCAAGGTCTCGTTGATGTGAGCCTGGAATATTACTCCGTCCATTAGTAAAATGGTTGCGCAAAAGATCAAGGGCAAAAGACCTGAGCTTCTCCATCTTGGTCAAGTGAGGATGGCTGTCAATAGTCTCCTTAAACAAGGCCACTCGGCATAGCTACCGCTGAATGTTGGCATCGGCAACGGGGCCAATGAGGGAGCAGGCGTGTATGGAGTGGGTGAAATACCAGCACCACTGGTAACATCCAATAACGTAGAGGGGGCAGCAACTCTACTGGAGCGCTTGGCAACTTCCACCTAGATGCTAGCTGAGAGAATTTCCAATATAAATCTATTCCGATTTTGCTATAATTTAGCTCTTCCAATTCCTTCTGAAGCGTGGCGAATCGATTTCGCAGACGCTTCTCCGTTGGTTCCAGGGTCATAATGGTTGAGCCTTCGGTCAGCATCGCAGACTTGAACTTCTGATGCAGGACCTCCATTTTCTGGCAGTTCACTTCTGCTCGTCTCCGCAGCATCCTTTTCCTGTTTGCAGCAGCAGATCCAGTGGCTTCAGCTCTAGACTCCATTATGTAATTTATGTGCACGGTTATTACAGCATAAACAACAAGTTTCCGTGGTTCTTTTAAACTTATCACATTAATTAAAGCGGGGTACGATCACGTCGGGGTTATCAACATGTTGAGCAACTAAGAGTTTTTAATAGCTGAAGAATAAATAAACCGGGGCAGTTCAATTTCCAAATTTTATTCTGAGTTCAAATCAACTCCACAACAAAACCACGCCGAATGCAAGAAGTACAGCTTCACCACAAAAGCTTCGAGGTACAGCAGTTTAATAAAAGCTTCATAAAGGGCAGGCGCTACAAAGTAACAGTAAAGTGCATGCGAAACTAAGATGATCAAAACAAACTATAATCTGCTGATAAACCCGACGCTGCTCATCCTTTGCCTTTGGCTTGGCATTGCTTCTGGTTTGTTCACGTATAACTCAAGTAAAGACAAAATAAGGCTACGAAACAAAGCAAGCAAGGTAGTGTTCAAGTTAAGGGTTAACAGCAAGTCGTACCCTAGAAGAATAGTTTTACAGTGGTTAACCATGCAATCATCCAGGCTAAGCTGTTTCGTCGCCAACCGGATTTCTGAGATGCAATCAACCACGTCAAACATCACTTGGAGGCACGTTCCGGGCAAGGACAATCCCGTGGACATAGTATCAAGAGGCTGCGCAGCGTCCTAGCCTATGGAAAGTATATGGTTTCGTGGACCAAGCTTCTTACGTCAGGACTCATCTGGATGTCCTCAACCAGTACCACATTCTCAGGAGACCAATGAAGAGTCCTCATATGTACCGATAGTGGTAGCAAGGAAGATATATTCGACTACGTTATCAACAAATTCTCATCCTATAGGCGCATTTTGCGAGTCACAGCTTTTGTGTTGCGCGTCTTCAATAGAATCAAGGTCAACAGGAAATTGAACTTAGTCGATGTAATTCATACACTAGCAACTGAATTGCACGGACCTCAAGAATCTTCATGCTTAATCTCAACTTCCTATCTCTTATAGTTCCTGAGATCTCAGCGTTCATACGGACAGACGGACAGTCGGACAGTCGGACAGACGGACATGGCTGAATCGTTTTCGCTATTGATACTGATCAAGAGTATATATACTTTATAGGGTCGGAAACGGTTCCTTCTATCTATTACATACTTTTCAACGAATCTTATATACCCTTTTACTCTACGAGTAACGGGTATAATGATTTAAGACAAATGACCCGTCGGAAGCAAAATAACAGAAAGGCAATTACACCGAAATGGAAACGCTATATGTAGCCATCTGCCATATCCATATCTATCCACAGATAAGCGCTAACGGAATGAGTAGCTCACGCCCAACGGCAGTATATAGGGAAGAAATCAACATAGAGCAATAAACACCATTTATATAAAGCCCGTTTAAATCTAAAGACACCAACAGAAATAGTTTACGGTTTATAAAAAAATTTATCATAGAAACATATTTGCTAAGCATCTTCAGAATGTGTTCAAAACATATCCGACCACAAACTATTTGGATTTGATCTACCTTGAGAATCTCCACACCTAAACTAACCTATCGAGATCAGTCAAAACAAAGTTAAACATATCATCAAACACGGATTATGAAATCAACTGAATGTTAACCAACAATGAAATCTCATCTCTATTCTCAATTTGGATTTCGAATGAAAACTCGTGTCGAGTTGTAGTGTCATCTCTAAAATACGTATTCTTAAGCACAACTTTCTAGCTCTTATAGTTCCCGAGATTTATGCATTTTTGGTTTGGGCGTGGTTAGATGAGGAAAAATGCGTAAACCGCCTTTCGAGCTTGATGGGCGTAAGAGTCGATGTGGCCGGATGGTACCATCATAAGATGCGCTGGCATATCAAGAGTGTATATACTTAATCTCAACTTTCTAGCTCTAATAGTTCCCGAGAATTCAGTTATATTAGTTTTCCGTGATTTCTGGGCGTTAGAGTGGGCATGGCAGGATGCTAAAATAAAGTTGCATATGGACTTCAAGAGTCTTCATGCTTCATCTCACCTTTAAATCTTTTACAGTTTCTGAGATCTCATCGTTCATACGGGCAGACGGATAGACGGACAAACGGACGGACGGACGGACGGACAGACGGACATGGCTCAATCGACTTCGCTATTGATCCTGATTAAGAATATATATACTTTTTACTTTACTTTTACTTTGAGTCCTGAAATTACGGAAATTATAGACTTTTCATATACCTTATAGGGTTTATTCGGGTCTTCCTTAATGCTACGCTCTACAGTAGTAATAGCTTCTCTGTACGCACCGTACGGCACCGTACCATTGTTTTCGAAATAAAATTTTTGTTCAGGTCTGAGTTTATTAATGATGAATTGCCAAAGCAAATTGAGAATAGTTCACTTGACAGCAGTTAAATCGATCGCCATCTTGAGCAGAATTGCCAAATTAAAATTCTACACTCTGAAAAAACACTCTTTAGTTTAAGTATGAGCTGCGCTCATGCCAGCCATTCCCTTAGCATAGAAGACAACCAGAAGGGGCGTGAGTTCAGCTTAAGTACAGTGATATGCATGTAGGTATTACGTCCATAGAAAACGTATGTTATTATTGGTGACTGGGATAAGTATAGTAATATATAAATATACCTTTGAAGGATCATTTTTGGTTTGTTTATAGAATACAATGATTAGGAAACTTTCAGGTGCCAATTATAAGTTTGACTATCCTGACCGACTGAAAACGTTCCGATTGTAGACCGTAGATGGAAGAAAATATTCTTCAACAGTTGCTCAGCTGAATTGATGTTAAATACCTTAGTGACACTTCGGATCAATACTTTTAATTTAGACCGTAAATTCAGTTCAGTAACGTCCCTTCGATCCCCGCTAATTATTAGTCTTTTTCCTTTTTTTCATTTTTCATTCGGGTGTGTAAGCTGCAGATCTGGAGCTTTAGATTTTTGGCCGCTGAACCCGCTCGGCGTACAGAAAGTAGGTGCCATGAGCGGCTCATATTGCTTGCAATGGCTGGCCCAGCGCATCTGAATATTTAATCACGTGGCCGAGCAGTAATATAAGTGGTGGGGCGGGGTAGGGAAGAGTATAGTGTTAACTCCTCCCCACCTCAAGATCTGTGTCCCGTAGATCAACGAGGCTTTAGGTGATGTGAGTGCCCAAATTCACGGCGATGTCGCTGACTCCTCTCTCGGACGTCAGTTTGCGCCGCAAGAGGTAAAGCAAGGACAGGAACGGCAGCGCCAGGTGATTAATGTCACTAGGGAGTAGATATTATAATGGACTATTCCGCAACCTGCGGAAATTAAGCAGGTTGGTGTCGTGGACGTAATTCAACTATGGTTGATTGCTAGTGGCAGTTTTGTGTGTGAGAACTGCTGGCATGGCCATGCAAGTGTCCCCTAGTGGCTGCTATAATTTCCCGGTTCGTCCGGTTTGTTGTTGAGCTGCACAATGAATGGTACAGATAGGTTGAACTCCCTTAAGTCGAAAGTTGATGAGGAATAAGATGCCGTCCTCAATTAGTCTGATCGTCTCCAGGTCGCTTGCCTCTGGCGATCCCATCCAGTCAATGCGGCCACCTTGGTTTCAGGCCCGTTATTTATTTTTTATTTTTTTCTTGTTTTCTTTCTTTTTTGTATTATGCATGGTCTTAATTTTACATGGGGTGTATGAAAAATTTCCGTTGAGGCTTCATCTGTTCAGCTTCTTTAATCTGATTTATGAAGCAACTTGCCCTATTCTAAGGCTGGATTATAGCTTGCAAAGTGGAACACAAGCAACATAGAAGGCAACGGAGCAGAGTTTCAATTCAATGTTGATACCGAAGATGTAACGAAGACTTTGGGCATGTCGTGGCAACCAAAACTAGATGTGTTCTGTTTTAGGTATACCCTACCTACAATCTCTGTTATCACCAAGCGGATCATCGTTTCACTTGTAGCTCACATGTACAATTTGCTAGGGCTCGAAAAATATTGAAAAATATTGGTCCAATTGTTGTGGGTGCACCCCGTCTAAACTGGGACGATCCACTTCCCCCTGACCTTCAATCTCAGTGGAAGCAAACAGAAGATGTGCACAATCTTCAATCCATCGAAATTCCAAGATTTATTAACTCGTCACAAAGAAATCTATCGGAAATACGGATTTTCAGATGCAGCGAGCTTATGGTGGTTGCCTATATCTACGAACATACATAAATGGAGAGTTTAAATCAATGCTTATCATCGCCAAGTCTAAAGTGGCCCCAATAAAGGCAATTTCATTGCAGCGGCTAGAATTGTGCGCCGTATATTTATTGTGCCAAGATTAAGCAAAAATTCGGAAAATACATTAATAATATTTTCTTTTTAGACAGATTCAAGAATAGTTTTACAGTGGTTAACCATGCAATCATCCAGGCTAAGCTGTTTCGTCGCCAACCGGATTTCTGAGATGCAATCAACCACGTCAAACATCACTTGGAGGCACGTTCCGGGCAAGGACAATCCCGTGGACATAGTATCAAGAGGCTGCGCAGCGTCCTACCCTATGGAAAGTATATGGTTTCGTGGACCAAGCTTCTTACGTCAGAACTCATCTGGATGTCCTCAACCAGTACCACATTCTCAGGAGACCAATGAAGAGTCCTCACATGTACCATGTAGGTAGCAAGGAAGATATATTCGACTACGTTATCAACAAATTCTCATCCTATCGGCGCATTTTGCGAGTCACAGCTTTTGTGTTGCGCGTCTTCAATAGAATCAAGGTCAACAGGAAATTGAACTTAGTCGATGTAATTCATACACCAGCAACTGAATTGCAATACGCCTTCAAGCACATCGTATTACATATTCAGCAGAAAACCTTATTCAACGAAATCCAGCAGGAAAACAAGATTTTAAAAACCTAATCTTAAAAAATAAA